TTCTTACTCAAGTGTAAAACCTTACTTTTTTCACCACTGAATTTCATTTTGTTAGAGAGGGTCCAGTGTTCAAGTCTGTCAAGATCCTTCTGGATCTTGAACTTGGTGTGTTCGCTATTCCTGCCAGCTTGGTGTTGCCTGCAAATTTGATGAGTTCTCCTTCTATTCCTTAATCGTTCTAAATCGTTTATGAAGAAATTGAAGAGTCCTAGGGCTAAAACAGAACCTTGGGGTATTCCATTGCTTACTTCCCTCCATGTCAGGGGTGTCAAACTCAATTTCATTGAGAGCCATATCAGCATTATGGTTGCCCTCGGGGGGAGGACGGAGTGTGTGTTGTGGGGGCATGGCTGGGTGGTCGCAGTCCAATGGATAGGCGTGGCCAGCTCAATGTAGTTTGTGTTGGGGCGCCTGTGGGGGATCAGACGGGAGGGGGGATAGTGAGGTCACTGGCAGAAGGGGATAGGACCAGGGTGAGTGCCGGGGCCTGATCCACTGAGGAACAAAGATGGGTTGTGGTGAGGCAGCCCAGCAAGTTGCCGTCATTGCCATGCTGCGGCCTCATGACAATGACACTGGCAGCAGGCAAAGAAAGAAGTGCGGGGGAGAGGCACATGATATAGACTACCAGATGTGCTAAGCAGCTGCCTGGCCACCTGCCCCATCCCAACCATGGTGGCAGGGGGTAACCAAAGACAGACAGTGGGATGGAGCATGTGGGTGGTAGGCAGCTGCCTTGAGTTCCAACTGACTAGATCATGTGCGTCTTCCCCTGTGCCTCTGCCTGCTACTTAGAGGGCCAGCCTGGCAGTCATAGCGCCCCAAACCCACCTGTGCTACATGTGCTGCAGAGCCCCTTGGTGGGTTGCTGCTGGACACTGTCAGCCCACACTCGCTCACTGCCTCCTGTGCGTGCACCGGGGTGGTAGTGGTTCCAGCTGGGGTGGGCCATGGCGTCAGCAGCCAGTCCCTCACTGTCTCTAGGGTAGCTCTGCAGGCCAAATCTGGGCCTTGTATTTGACATGTCTGGTTGAAGGCTTCTTTCCTGCCCTCAAACAATAAGGCTGGCACATGCAAGTGATCAGCAAACCCAGGCCATGGACAGAATTGGTTCCTAGATCTGGCCCTAGATCTGACCCACGAGGCCTCCTTGCCACCTCAGCCTCACCCCAGGCTGGACTCTGGATGATCCGCGATAGACCATAAGCTCTCCTCAGCTCCATTCCTAAAGTAAATAGTTTGAGATCCCCCAGACTCTACTATCAACCCAAAAATGAATTTAAAGAGCTTAGGCAAGGAGGTTACTGTGCAGCGGGGAAGCTGGAGCAATATCAACAATCCAAACTGCTCCCTAAAGCCCAACTTAATGAACAAGGTCATATATCCAGTGACCACACCTGAAATCCATAAGGGATTCCTAGATGGCAATTGCTACACCATCATCCTGCCCTAAGATCTCTAGTAATGCATACCTAGAAACCAGCTGAGCTTATCTCTGAAATGATCATGCACACCCACCTTTGGGACCCACCCAGATCTCAATAATACATGCTACCTTGGCTCCCGCATTGACAGAGTTTCCAGTTGAACAAAGACCTATTACAGATCTACCTTAAAAACAGCAGCTGGAAATGATCTTGTCAAAATGAACTTTTAAACTTGTGATCTGAAAATCTAAAATACATTGAATACTAGTTTTATGAAACACATGTTTAAATATGCTATATTTTGTCTGATTTTGATGAGTTAGGAAAAAAATCATAGTTGAATAACCATATTTATTTCATATGAATACATTTTTAACAAAATGGGATTCATCACTTCAGTAAGAAATGCTTTAATTCAATTAATAAACCATATATAATAGAACTATTTAAATTGCAATTAAAAATTTTAACCACACAAGATTCATGTATTTATGAATATTTATAATAGTTAACAACATATAATAAAATAGAATGAGAATATTTTGAGTTTGAAGCAAGGATTAAACATTAGGTCATTTCTTACAGTTCCTAGTTCTTATAAACTACAATATAAACAGTGAAAACTGAAGTATTTTTATCAACTCATGGTCTTCCTAAATTAATGTTTTATTCTTGTTTAAATTCAAATACTGTAGAAAGATCATGGTTTTTCAATACTCTTCAAGTGATTGTTTCAATTCTGCAAATGTGGCTTCTTAGAGATAAAGTAACATGGCTGTAAACTGAAGATGTATCAGGAAATCCACAAATGTCTGCAGGAAATTGAATAATCATTTACTGGGAAATAATATTTTAAATATCATAGTTTGCTTCTAAAACACTAATACAATTTTATATCCATTTTACTAAATGTAAATATTTTAGCGAATGTAGAACCACAAATACAGAAAGATTGCACCTTGCCCAGAACAAATTAGGAGTTAACCTAAAGCCTAGTTGGTCATTGAACTTACAACATTCTGTCATGTGAATACCAATAAAAAAAAAAATAGACCAGTAAATCCAATCTCATTCCATGTTTACAATGCAAGAGAATTCTCTGCTTCATGTGAATGCAGCCAAGTGTCAAGAGTAACTGTAAGGGCTTGCCTCTTCTACTCAAGAAAGCAGAACTCTTGAAACAGGCATTATTTCAAAAGGAAACTTTTATTGAGGGAAAGTGATAGTAAGGAAAGCAAGGCAGGATCTGAAGTTCCAGCTGAAAAACCTGTTAGATTAAACATTGCAGGAAACCTGTCCCATATGTCCAGTCCAAGCTGAGCCAGCCCACAGGGGTGAAGTTGTTATGAGAACTTGAGATAAGAAAGATGATAAGAAGTTGTTCTCAGGTGTCACTTTGCAGTTCCTTTGGAGCTGAGACAAAACAGATGGCCCCAAGTAATTCCCTCCCCCCTCCCTTTCCCAAGCAGGTCCACAAAGTGACAGGAAAGCCAGAAGCAGGAAAGGGGTTGTAAAAGAGTATCCAGGGCCCCCTCCCCACCAGAATGGCAGTGTCCCAATAGGGTTCTATAGGACCTGACAGTAACACTAATTTACTTTCCTAAGTCACTTAAGTGACTGTCTTCATTATCAGTAATAGCAAATAAATTGCTGATACCTTTTATCATCTTTCTCATCAAAATTCTCAGCACTACAAATGAAACATCTCTTAGGAAGACCATGCTTGATTGAGTACCTCTCTGGAATGTTGTGACTAATTAAAGTTTCCCATTAATCCTAGTAGGCACTAATAACAATATTTTATTAGTTGTCTCCATTTATTTCAACTAAAAATACATATTCCAGAACTAGGTATAATTGTCTAGGTCAGGGGTCCCCAACCACCGGGCCGTGGACCGGTCCCGGTCCGTGGATCACTTTGTACCGGGCCACAAAGAAAAAATAAAATAAAATAAAAATGGCGGCTTTCTTTGCCTTCGGTGAATGCTGCTGGGATCAGGAATCAAGGACACAAATGAAAGAAGGGGAGAAGGAAGCAACCAAAGCCTGTCCTACTCTCTGGCTCAGTGGCTTCGGTTTCCTCCCGCCTCGTTCCTCTCTCAGTCGCTCTCTCGCTCCTCCACCAGCCCAGGAAGAAACTGCTTCAAAGAAGCCGGCAGGGTGGCTTTTCCTGTCGGTGCAGCTCTTCCGAAGCGCCCGTTCACCCCCACCCCGCCGCCCTCAGTTCAATCCAGTGCTCCGTTCTGCCTGCCTGCCTGCCTTCGTTTCTGGTGGTTTCGGAGCAGCTTCGGCTGAG